AAAGGAGGTAACAATGCTAAACTGCACCTCTGGAGTGCCCCCCCCTTCCTCCTTATCCTTTGAATGTCCTCTAGCTGTCCATCCCATCCAAGTAATCAGCATCCTTCAAAGAAGCACAGCCAAAGCTAAAGCCAAGTCAAACAGAGAGTGTGTCCTAATCAGGGGCATGAAGAAGAGCTGGGCTTATGGAGCCCTCCCCCCACTGCGGGGCCATTACTGGGCCGCCATGGGCTCAAGATTAGAGCCTCTTCCTGTGTTAGCCATTCAAATTCAGCATTAATGTTTGAAAGAGCAGAGAAAATGCCTGCTCTTCATGGATAGATTAATATTTTATGGGAGAGAAATGTGAAAACATCCCCAGTAATATCTGAGCTGAGCTGCTGTGTCTGCGGTGGTTCTCTGTGTGTGTGATATTTTAGACATTTATATATCGCTGTCAAAATGTCACATCCGACCAAAGCCAGCCAAGCAGAATGAGGGTTGGCTGTGAAATTTCTGACAAATTAGCATATTATGGATCAGTGTTGCAGCTGTCTTACATTGAGAGAAAACTTGGTCTCTTAATGAAGCTTTTTTTCCTTGTCTGCTGATAGAGTTCAGCCTCATGAACCGACTATCTTCAGCATCAGGCAAACGGCAGACATAGAGTTGATTTATGATGTTGAGAGACTAGCCTGTGTGTGTTTCAGAAATAGGAGCTGCTTGTTTCAGGGACAGTGCACTCACTGACTGCTTGCCTGCCTGTCAGTCTGCACAGTAAATAGGTCAGTGTTTTATGTGAGTGAAGAATCAGTAATGTCCGGGCCTCCATGAATCTGCCATCTTTAGCTGTTCCGACCACTCGGCAGAGCTGCTGCATCGGCTGGCAGTCAGGTGATTAGCCCAACAGCCACACAGCAGTGAGGACTTGCATTAGAGATTTGTAATGTATAAAATTGGTTACTTGTGGTTGTATCCTTCAGCCGGTGGCACAGATTCTCACTGTTGCCTGATATAGAAGTGACCAAAGTCAGATGTGTCTTTCAGCTACATAATTCATTGACACTCCTCTTTTTTACTGAAATTATCATATTTATGAGCATGCACTCTACCTTCACTTTAAGTGTATTTTGTGTTGCATGCTCCCATGGAGGACAGGAGTATCAATGAAGCTAAGGCATACTACACAGTATGATTCACCCAATAAACCTCAAGAAAATATCAATTTTATGTTTAAAGGGTTCAAAACCTCCTGTCATCTCGTCATTATTTGATGTTGCAGTCATTGATTTTTTTCCTCTGTATTTGCTGACCAGATTGTGATCTGATTGATTAGATCTCAGTTGCTGTTGTCAGGTCTTGCTTGTGCCATGTGCACATGTTCGTGAATCCACCTCTGTGCATGACTATAAAAGCTGTATGACATACTGTAGCTGGCAAGATCGTGTTCAGAAGATTATGTTAATGGATTAACAGAGGCATCAGTCACAGCTGCTTTACTCTCAACAGGACAGAAGCACTTGTATGTGTCTTTGTAATGGAAAAACAAGGACAAGCTGGATATATGTAAGGGATTATGTGCAACATTGTTTAAGATTTGAATGCTATTTGTTATTTTTTGTTAAAGATGTTGCAAAGTTCACATTGTTTTTCAAGCCATGATATGCTGTGAGTAGCAGTCCAGCAGATCTGAGCTAGCCTGTCTTAGTGGCAAAGCTAATAAAGGTTCAAGTGGTTCATTGTGTACTTGGTTCTGTGCATTTTTGTTGATCATTTAGCATCAATCCATAACTGGCATTTTAAATGAAATCCTATAAAGCATTTTGTAACCTTTGTTTTACAGCATGGTGAAAATGGAAAGCTCAGATATTGTTTAAATGGTCAGTTGTATACAGTAGGGCCCGTTGTGTCATATTGCATGTACTGTAAGGCTTCCATATCACACCACCATGTCAGAGTCAGAATCACTTTTAATGACCCGGTATGTGTAAAACTGTTATGTATAGATATACTATATATATAACGTATATGTAGTATATCTAAACATATATAAACAACACTTGTATACAGTAAGACACTAGTGCAATGGTGCAGAGTGCAAAGAATGCTTTTATCTAACAGGTTACTTTATATACACGAGGTAGGTGGATGCACAGTATATACAGTATTTAAACAATGAGAATAAATAATTTACAGCAGTGGATGTTTGAGTCACAGGGTTATTGCTCAGGGATTGTTCCTGTGTCCAGAGTTAAATGTTCATCAGAGTGATGGAAGTCCCTATGTCTTCCCTACCGGCAACTTCCTGTTGTTTTTTCTCTCTCAGGTATTGTGATAGCCGCACTGGCAGCAACTCCCTGTTGCTTTAGCATGTCAATATTGTGACATTCCTTTGTAAACAGCAGAGTTTTACCGGGTTTTGTTGTTAGTGACACGCCTAACCTTCAACCTAAGAGAACCTGTTTGCTGCTGTTGTCTGGTCTCACCCAGCATGATGGTAGAAACTGCCAGCAGAGTCACCCCCACCCCCCACCACCACTGTATCTCATAAGATCGTGGAAAGATGCCAGGAAAATGATCTTTATCAGTACATTAAGATCACAAGGTGTTTCTCTGTAGCTGTCTGATTATTCACACATAGTGGGTGCCTTGCAGCTAAACTGGATCAAACATGTAACTTTTATTTATACAGTTAACCAATCTGTCAGGAGTGACCTGTTTTGGGAAAGGGTAGCTCACCAGTTTCACATGGATACAATCGATCTCAATCTGAAAAAGAGCTGCAGTGGTTTTTTGTTTTTTTTAAAGAAATCTTTATTCTTGTCATGTTCCCCACTTCACTGTTGTCCACCATTTGTTGCATCAACTCAGATAAAACAAGAAAATTCCTCTACAGCAAGCTCTGATATTGAAAGCCAGGAGAAGTATGGGCTGCTACCTTCCAAATCATTTCCTGCTGTTACTATGGAGTAGTTTGTTAACTGAATGGATCACCATGCAGTTTCTGTGTTACATTCTCTTGCCAAGTTAAACTAAACTCTTTTCCTCTCATCACATCACAAGTAGAGAGGGGAAAAAAACCAGTGTCTGTTTATTAGGAAACATCAAGATTATATTTGTAATCTTTTGTCTTAGACCATTGTTTGACTTTTTTCACATAAGTATTGGCAAATATTTTGTACTCTGGTTTATATGAATAAAACATTAGAATCAGACTAATTATGCATTAATGCATATTGGTTAATGTTAGCCAAGGGAAGTAAAACTGTTACTGTAGATGAGAAACTCTTCCGCTCTTATGGATGCAAGATTGAAAAACGCTGACCTAATCAAATTCAGTGTGTACATAAACCTGTAGTTATCCAGTAGGCAGTCAGGAAAGGAATGAATCTAGATTAAAGGGCTGACTTGTTGTAAGTGTCATTCATAAGAGGACTGTAAGACAAAATCATAATAGTCACTCATCTCTGCAGTTATAAAGACTGTTTGGTTGGTTCTGGTTGTAGCGTCCAAACAGGAAATGACAAATCTGTTTCACAAGAAGAAGCATCTTTTCTCAAGATTTGAGCCTGCGGAACGGGAAAACAAAGAGGTCTTGATCTTATCAATATATGCAACATTTTTCCCCTAATCTAATTCCTTCATTCAAAACCAGTTCTTTCAGGAAGTGAACAAGGAGAAGGGTGTAACCAACCAGATTTTGTCTTCTGCAGAAGATGGTTGCATAAAATTGTAAAGGCCACTGGGAAAGCACATGTGTCATTTGTCAGGGGCAGTGAGTGCTGTGTATAAGCCAAAGAGTGGTCTTTGTTTGCTAATGTAGGTCTTCACTAAGGGGGCAGCCTGGATGGCTCGCTTTCTGGGACGGTTGTGCTGCACATCACATGATGGGCTTGGCCTCAGGGTGAGGCAGTGAAGGAGTTTAAGATGGTAGTGGGTAGATGGAAGATGAGAGGATGAGTGATGGGAACATTTACTCTTGCCGGTTTCTTTTAGAATCAACTCCTGGTTACCGTTTTCACAGCTGACGTGGACATTGGACTCCACGTCACTCCCAAATAGCCTCCATTCAAACAGCAAGAGGAAACGTGATGAAGGTCATAGGATATATTGATTTTTATTATTTTTTTAAAATCAAAATGACATTTTCTAGAACCTTATAAGAATCTAAAAAATTAAAAATTTGTTGTGCAACGTATCAGATTTGTAAGCAGAGAATTGAAAATAGGCTATACGATTCAATGAGAATTTCTCAGACCTGCATCCAGTGTCGCTGCAACAGGATTCCTCATGTTACAATTCTAAAATAGGCCAAAGCTCAGCAAATACAACACTTTGAAACTATAACTAGGAGTGTTCTGTCAGCATTAGATCTGCCTGAATGCAACTATCAAGTCTTAATATGGCTTTTTCCCCCCATTTATGTTACCCTAGTTCTGCTTCTTTAGAAACCACCCAAAAGACTTACACTGTGCAACTCACTAATGTCAGACTTTTATCAAATAACAGACTTTTACTGAGTCACAAGTAAAAATTCTTGTGACTGCTGGGTTGCTGATAGGATTAATTGATTAGAAATTGTTTCTCAAGTAAAATAATCACATTCATTTTATTTTATTTTCTCTGTGTTATATCATTATAAATTTAATGTCTTTGGGTTTTGGGCTGTTGGGTGGTCAATTTGGGAAATTCAGTGGTCAATTTCACACCATTTTACAGTTATATAATATGCATTTCATCATAGACAGATATTATATAATTGGTGCTCCCTGTTGCACCCAACAAGCTGTCATTACAAGGTCATTGCTTGCAACCGACTTTGATATTGACAAAATCATTAAAAAATTAACCAAAACAGACTCATATTTTTTAACTGAGTCCATAGTCGTTATATATTTTGTACGCTTGCTAGGGAGTACTAGTTGAAATTCAAGGTTGTTATGTTAAAGTTCAAAGTTCTTACTGATCTTTAGCCAGACTTTTTAACACTGAACTTCTCTCTCTTTCTATCTCTCTCATAGGACATTGTGAGTGCTACTAAAGATGTCTGATAGTGTCGATATTGAAGAGAAACCACCAGCCCCCCCCTTGAGAATGAACAGTAGTTCCAGAGACTCTTCATTGTTGAATCACGCCTCTAAACCGCTTCCAATGGCTCCTGAAGAGAAAAACAAGAAGGTCCGCCTGCGCTCCATCTTCCCCGGGGGAGACAAGAGTGAGTATCCTTGTCCACATGTCACATTCGCGCTCAGCTCCACATTAATGCACATTATTTACTAGTTTCATGCGTATAAAAATACTAGAAATCAGCCTGTAATCACTTTTTGTTCATTTCCTGTAGCAAACAAGAAAAAGGAGAAGGAACGCCCTGAGATATCCCTACCTTCAGACTTTGAACACACCATTCATGTTGGCTTTGATGCTGTAACAGGAGAATTCACAGTAAGTATCTCTTTCACCTGACAATCAGGCATATAAACACGGACTGATGTGCTTCTAAAATCCTCTTCCCCATCTGAACGCACAGTCCCAGCACGCATTTCTAAAATCAAAATCCCCTGAGGTGATAGAGTCACTAATGATATATTCTCCTCCACATAAAATTGGTTATGAGTGACTTGAATGACAATCTATCTCCCCTGTCAGCTGAAACCTGCACTGCATCCTTCAGTGTTTCTTGGTAAATTACGTTTTAGCTGCAGTATCAGTTGGCAGTAGTTTAATTCTTACACAAACCTAGATATAAAATACCATGACACAATGTTTCCATCTATTATTTTCTCTGTTTAAAGTTCTTTACATTGAATTTTATAATTTCTTTTCAGTTAATAAAGTGTTTTTTTTGTTTTATACTTTATGCCATACCCCAGCAAATAGTTACTCTAAGCAACACTCTAGACAAAGCAAAGCTTATAAAGCTTTTAATGGTCAGTTTTTTATCCCACAGAGATGTTCATTCAGCTCATTGGTGCAGAATAGTGTTATACTATACCTTAAATTTCTTGTTTAGTCGTCTTTGGTTAGGGCTGAGAGGAATAACTATTTTAAGATAGAGACTTTTCATCATTCCCCTTTAAAACTTGTATACTCTGGAACACTGTATGTGTTCTGGTCTATTTGACTTGCAAATGAACAGCGCTCAGTTCATAATATCAGCAACGAATAGTTCCTTGTTCGTTTGATAAGCTGTATGCCTGTGAAACATTAACACAGTTTTAAACCAAACCACTTTAATTTCATGTCTTTCATGGTTTTATGGGAGGATTACTGTTGATTTGTCCCTTGACACCCTCGAAGTATGAGCCCCTAACATCATTGATTCCACAGAACCGAAGACAGTTGCTCTAAGTGTAAAAATATCCATGTACAAAGATGGCATGAATGAAACCCATTGTTCAATCACATTCAGACTCCACAGGCATTAAAACATGCAAAACAGACTAAAAAGTGTAGAAATACCTTAAAGGAATAGTAACTTTTTGATTTGGGAATTTCACTCTCTTTCTGAGCATTAGATGAGAAGCTTGATACCGCTCTCTGTCCATATGAAGCTCCAGCCAGTTAGCTTAGCTTAGCATACAGACTGGAAACGGGGGGAAACAGCTAGCTACCTTTACCAGCATCTCTAAAGCTCACTATTAAACATGCTACATCTTGTTTGTTTAACCTATACAGAAAGTGAAATGTGAAAGCAACAAGTATGGTTGATGCCAGCTTTTTCCTGCTGCTTCAAGTAGTTATGCTAAGCTAAAGAATAAATAGCGAATAAACAAATTCTCCAAAATGTTGAACAATTCTTTTAAGATGTAGTTCTTCTAATGGTTTTGAGAGTGTAGACATAACTGAAAGAAAACTCAGACGGAAATTATAGTAAAATATTGTATGTATAATCGTAAAAATCTTTTTCACTACCAAATTAAATTTTTATTTTTGGCAATATTAAAATCTCTATATAAGATATTAAGGCTTAAAGAGATGTAGGTGTGGGGAAATGTTTGTAGGATTTAGAGGTGTCTCAACTCATTCAGCTGTAGTGATCAGTTGTCCACCCTACTATCCGGGCTGCTAAAAGCCTGTGTGTTACAACAGAAACACTACATATATATTTTTCAACAGTTTCTGGCTATAATTGAACGACCATTATCAACCTCTGTCTATGTGTGCAGGGTATCCCAGAGCAGTGGGCACGGCTCCTACAGACCTCGAACATCACTAAGCTGGAGCAGAAGAAGAACCCACAGGCCGTGTTGGACGTCTTAAAGTTCTACGACTCCAAAGAGACTGTCAACAACCAGAAGTACATGAGCTTCACCTCGGGAGGTAAGCAACACCAAAATACTGACAACAACCACCAATGTGAAGAAACATGTTATATTCATTCTAATGTCTCATACAAAAGATTGTCAGTATGCTGCCTCTACAACAATGTTCTTTTCTGTTTCAGACAAGTCGGCACATGGGTACATAGCAGCAAACACTCTGGTGAGTTCTTTTATATATAAACTTACTTTGGTTAGTGTAATATTTTACATTTGATCACTATTAAGAATATGTGTTGAAGAAAAACACCATGATATGATAAACATGAACAAAAATATATGTCAGTTGATAATACCTAACTACTTTAATGCTCAGTTTTAAATGAATTAAGTTGTTGTTAATTAAACATGCCCCCTTTTGTTGGAGGTTTCTCCTCAGTCTGTTTTATCTGGAAATATATTGCTGCACTGCATATCTTGACCTCCCTAGACTGTCTGGTTATTAGTAAAAATATTAGTACAAATCAACCCAATCTCTGGTTCTTCGCCACACACTGTAATATTGGAAAGTCTCTCAAATCAAAGTAATATGGAGAGAAAATATATTTCTTCCTGATTTTATATACATGTAACAGTGTAATACTCTTAACAGGTAAGTTTCAACATTATGTGGCTTTATTTCATCGCCTTGAAACTCTTCGACTGCACCACAGTAAATCTTTCTCACTTTACTCTCAATAACTGTGTCTAGGAATTTCTGGGATAGACTCTGTTCCTTTCCACGTTCATCGCCTCTAATGGGCGAAATGTGTGGGTTCCTCTCTAGAGGGATGCTGCCCTCACTCTGCAGCATAATGCCCTGAATTTTCCATACACGCCAATCAGTTTGCAGATCCTGCACAGAAACGGTGACTGCTGTGAGAGCTACTGCTGCTCATTGTTTATTTTTCCAATCGACTTAACCAGATTTTGAAATACCAATAGACAAGCTTTACTGGAGGCTCAGCTGCATCTAGAAGGACTCCCGCTGTGCTGACCTCATTCCTGGCTTTGACCAGAGTAATCTATGCTTTGAATGCCTTGGCCTGTACACGCTCAGCTGGGTGAAGAAGTGGAATCCAAGTCTGTTCAGTAGGATTCGCTGCCCCTGGCAAACGACAATGGTGTCAGTTAATGCAGGGCTACCGCTTGAAAGAGCTCTTCGCCAGTGAAGGGCAAGCGGGTGTGGCAGTGGGTCTAAAAGGTTGTGCAAGCCCAGTGAGGGTATTTGAGAGCATCTCAGCCTTGGACTGTCACAATGGTCCACGGTCTGCAGAGGTGACTCAGCAATTGGCTACAGGGCCACAGTTTTCATTCTAGGATTGGGCCGCAGTGTCTCAGGCAAGCAGAACTTCAGGAGAGGTGCCAATACTTTGTCTACAGAAGCAAACTGTCTCTTTTCAGAGGGAAACAGTAACCCATTATGAGCAACCTGATGCCCTCTGTCAGATTATATTGAGTATATATATATATTGTGTTTTGCCTTCCTTAAACAACTTATATTCTTCAACTTCTTATTACTTGCTACAGACCGCTTCTACCCTGCTGTTTTCTTGTCTTGTCATTAAGGATTAAAGAAGTTAATAAAATAAAACTGTTTTGAGTCATTTTCCCATGTTGTTTAGTCAGATGGAAAACAGATTACTATCCACTGGTCATATTATAATATCTCCGGTGTTTATTTGACCTCTTTGAGCATCCATTTGAGCCAGTCGTTCATGTTTTAGGTGAATCAAGAGCCTCATCTTGACCTTAGCGCAGCGTACATTTATAAGTGTGGTAATGGTGCTACGTGTAGGGACACTATTGCATCCTAATCCAAGCTTTTGGTCAGGCCAAAAAGTTGGAGTAGAAATTTAGATTCTAGGACTTCGAAAGAAAATCTAAACTTTAGTTACCATTTCTAACCACTCTAACATGCTGAATGTTGTTCTCAGTGTCCTTTTAGTGCCCTCTACCAGACAATAGATTCACCTCTGAAATGTTATTTGTAGTAACAAGTTCTTCAATCTTTCAGTATTAATTTGATTGCCTTTGTTGCTGCTTTAAGTGATTGGTAACTTGGTCTTGGTTTTTCTGTCCTGGAGTTTCCCCTGTTTAGCCATCAGTTAAGTCATAACTGTGATGATTTTCTATTAGTCCTATTAATAGAACCTGGATAGATGAAGTCCTGTATATTTAACTCTAGTGTGTTGTCTGAGTGTCCGACCACGAGGCAACCAACACAGACAGCTAGACCACTGCTCATATAACTGCATTCACAGCATTAAGAGTTTGTTTATCAGTGTGAGCTTTACCTCGCTACAACTTAAAAAAAGTTGTCACACCAGCTGTGATATTTAATCATTACATGGTCATAATTATGATTTGAATGGAAAATGTTTATAGGCTATTATGAAACAGCATTTATCCAGTCAGATGAATGAGAGCAGCCACTTCGTTTTCTTCAGAGAGTTAGTCAGTAGCCAGTATGTGACCATTCTCTCTTTTCTCTTTTATCAACAGAGTAACAGTTATGTTCAAGTATCAAACACTACCATAAACAACACAAACAGCAAACTTTCCTCATGTGGAATCCTGCTGTACAGCACCACATTTTACATTTTTACCTTGATGTCAAAGTGAATACCACAACACTAGTTTCAATAACAATGCTTTCCTGCCAGCTAATGCAAGGGGACATTAAAAACCAAAAGTTATGTTGAGTTTCTAACAAAGTGTGTGCCAAGAAACACAAACAAATGCAGTGGAAAAGAGAGTTTTAACACAATTGTCTGTATTTGTGTGTGCATATGTGTATACTTTAACACTACTTGACAATAATTAAGATACAATCTTATAATCTAATCTTTAATTTTGGTAGTCTAATGGATTGCATCTTTAACATGTTATCAGGACATTTGAAATCAGGCATAAGAACATCATGGGTGCATGAACAGAGGTGGAAGTTATTGTCCTCATTGTAGCGTTAAAATAAAAGCTGATTAAAATAACATTTTATGCAAGAAAACTGAAGAGAAATAAAGTAAAGTAGAGAGAGATGTGTTCTAGGCTTGGGCAAGGACAGTCCTCAGGTGGCATGATGTGTCTCTATCATGTCCTCTCCACATGCTGGGTGGTAGGAGGACAATTTACGGACCTAACATCCGTCCCTCAGTAGCGTACCCCTGCCCTCCCCCCCTTCCTTGAAGTCCACTTACTCTTAAACATTGTGTGGGTTTGTTTTGAGTAAATCCTCCCATTCTCAACCTTCACATTCAGAACCGACTGCTGTCATCTGGGCCTCCTGTCAGCCTTAGAACCTGCAGCGCATTATTTGACAAGGTAACTCCTCCATATTACTTTCCACATGATATTTCTCTGCATTGGCCTTGAAGCTAAATTTGATCTCCTAATTTTGATTATTCCAACTGGCTAATGCAAAATACGTACAAATATTTTAATTTAGAGGCATCATCACTCTCTGTACTGAAATTCCATGGGGGTTATGATTGGATCTATTAGTTTTTGATGTTATAGATGTATTTATTATCTTCCACCAGAGCACCTCTAATCTTTATCCAAATGGACCGTCTATGAAATGGCAGGGCAGGGGCGCATGCCACAGAGGGTTGTGATGACTATCAAACTGCATGTATGAGCTCATATTCCTTACAATTTAATCCACATTTCCAATAATGTGCCTGTAACTTCATCACCATTGTAGACATTACCGCATGGCTCTATAAAAAAAAAAAAAAAAACCCACATATCACCGCTTACAGTTAGCTAGACACTCATTTCTGCACTGCCCTCCCTGGAGCAGGTCAGAGGCCCACTATGTCTGAATGAAGGACTGGGACTTTCCTTCAGCCAGACCCTTTCCCTTTAATCACTTCAACTAAGCTGCACTGCTTCATTTATGCATGACGAGACTGGAAATGGATGAAATGTTTCCATTCCATAAGAGGAAGATGATCCAAGGCTAGCAGAGCTTTGGATGAGGGAAATAAAGGCTGAGCATTAGGCATAATAAATATGCCTGAGGCTTATTAATCACACTTGTTAAAAGGTATTTCCATATCAAAAGGATGTCTACAGTTCATCGCCATACTGCACATGACTGCAATGTGGCAGCATGATTTCTCCTATAGCACAGTTAGATATAAACTGATATAAAGATAAACTTTACTGAATGGCACCTCACTCTTTTTAACACTTGTCTCTTTAGCTCTCACTGGACTTCCCTCCACTATTAACAGAATTGCTTCTGACAATTTAACCCCATTCATTTCCGGTTTTGTTTGTTTTTTATTTTATTTTCTACACAAGATGTACTGTTACAGGGTAGATTATCGCAACAGATTATCTGTATTTTGTTTATGTTGATCACATGTGCTCATTTTTGTCACTGCTTTTGAATAACATTTTTTAATGATATGATCTCAGTCTCTTATTGATGCAATTTAGAAATTAATTCACCATCACTACAGCTTCTATGTTAGACTTCTTCTGAAACTCAGCTGGCCAGAACTCAAACTCTGGGTAGTTTGGGGTTTGCAGGCTGCTGACTGTGACAGCAATTCATTAGAGAAAATTATAATTTGGTTTAAGTTAGGGAAACATTTGAGGGTTTTTTTTTTCATTCCATGCTGCTACTTGACGCATGCATCCACACTCACTTACATCTCTACCCCCCCAAAGGCTGCCAAAACATCATCATCAGAGCCTCCAATCGCCCCACCCGTGTCAGAAGAGGAGGATGAGGAAGAAGAGGAAGAAGAAGAGGAGGAGGAAGAAGAGGATGATGAGGACGAACTTCCCCCGGTCATTGCGCCTCGGCCTGAGCACACCAAATCTGTGAGTTTATACCGAACAATTGGTGAAATCATTCTGCGGCAAATGCCTTTTGCAATTCTTTGACTCTTTTCTCCTTGCAGATCTACACGCGCTCCGTCATGGACCCACCAAAGCCTCCCACCCCAGTCAAAGAAGTGTTGACTCCTCCAGAGTCGCAGGTTCAACCGGAGAACACGTCCAACACAATGTATCGCCACACTGACCGCCAGAGGAAGAAGTCTAAAATGACAGATGAGGAGATTCTGGAGAGACTCAGTACGTGTCTGTAGAGCTGCACGTGTTTTTATGTGTATCAGGGCAGAGTTTTAGAAATACTGAGGGTCTTAAGACATTTTTCACCAACTAAAACGTTTTTTTTCTAATTATTTAAATTGTTTTCACTTTTACATTTCACAGTTATTTGATTGTTCAGTTTCATTCCCTGTAAAATGTATCTCTGCAAATGATTGTAAAACCCTTCCACACTATGAACTATTTTGGTGGAGAAATCCTAAATGTCTTGATTTTGGAATGTTTAATTGGCAAAAAATTAATGAATGAATTAATTATATTAAAGATATGTAGTCTGAAATATATCATAATCATCTAAAATTGTAGAATATACTCCGAAAACAATATTGAAGATTTGACCTTAGTGTCAGAAGATGGATATTTGGTTTCCAGTGGCTGTTTTCCACATATTGCTTCTAGTGTAAAAGAACGTGGGAGCACTAATGTAATCAAATTAGGAAGTACTTTTCGAATTTTCATTGAGTGTGTTACCAGCAAGCACCTGCAAGTAGAGATGTATCTCTGAAATAGAAAGGCAGAAAAAGGTTCTACCTTTCTATTTCAGCAATGTTTTCTATGTATTTGTGTGAATGCGGTCATGGCTGTGTGTGCCCACACAATCTCATTATATATCTACTGTTTTTTTGACTCAGGGAGTATTGTGAGCGTGGGGGATCCCAAAAAGAAGTACACACGCTTCGAGAAAATAGGACAAGGGTAAGTACATCCGTGGTCATAAACCAGTCTTCACAGTGGAGAAATAGCAACACACAGAGCAATTTCAGGAGCAGTCATTCTCGTGGGGAGAGATGGAGCTGTAGTGACCACTTTAGTGAGACACAGGCAGAGGGAGGGTCAGGTTGAATGACTGGGAGAAAACTAAGTAGAGAGGAAATGAGAACTGTATCCTGAAATGGCCAAAGGCAAGATTAGCCCACCCATCTCTCTCTCTCTCTCTCTCTTTGTTTTAAAGGCTGCTGTTTTTCTGTCACTCTCCCTGTTCACTTCCCATCTGCACAGATAAAAACTGTGCGGTTGTTATCTGCTCATGGTCACTATTTCCATATTTGATCAGGAAGCTTCTATCTTAAACAGTAGATAACAGTCTATGTACTCTCTGCCGGGTTATCATTAACTTATTAGTACCAGGAACTGTGCTTCATTATTCATAGCTTCTGACAGTACACCGGTGTAGCTGACAGCAAGAGAAAGAGGGAAAGACTAGGAGCCTAAATTTACTAAAGGTTTTAGTATCATCAGTTACGCTTCCAAATAAGGACAGAATGGCTGCATACCAATCCCTTGACCAGCTATTGGAAGCCATAAATTTGTGGATCCAGTGTGCTCATCACTGCTAAGGCTATTTAATACTGGTTAAGTTAAAAATAGCACATACAGTTTGTTGATGAAAAAACAAATTAAAAATAAAAATAAAATAACTTCAAGCCTCTGGCATCAACAAAACCATTTAGCCATGCCAACATGCTAACTCGTCCACTCAGTCTAATTTTACCCTCACATCCCAGCAGGGTTCGCTTTTCTTGTTAAGTTTCATTAAATTGTAATCTGTGGTCTGAATGTTAACTACTAAATCTGATGCATGCAACTTAAAATTGGTCTTCAGCCAATTAATATAGAAACGTGGGTGAATCATACTGTGTCCTCCTAAGCCTGTCTGAGAAGCATTTAGCTCTGTTTCTGAGGCTGCAGTGCAAAATGATGAACATAATTTCACTGAAGTATATGCTATAAGTCTCTTGAAGCTTTTCACTAAGTTTTTCAGAGATACCTTACGCTGTATAGACAAAGATAGAGATAGAGATGTTGAATTGTAAATTTGTTAGACTTGTTGATTATCACTTAAATGGTGTATCATTAATGTGATTTTGATCTTGTGTTTCACCAGAGCATCCGGCACTGTGTACACTGCCATCGATATAGCAACCGGCCAAGAGGTAAGTCTTTATCTAATCTAATTATCAGTCTAATGTCAATGATACAACATTTACATACTGTATATTATTTATTTTTCCTTGCTAAGCTGTCAGGCTTACTCTTGTTCTTAGCCACAGATTCCTTGTCTGTTTTCTCAGGTGGCCATCAAGCAGATGAACCTTCAGCAGCAACCCAAGAAAGAACTGATCATCAATGAGATCTTGGTGATGAGGGAAAACAAAAACTCCAATATAGTGAACTACCTGGACAGGTCAGTTTTCACATGCAGGGTCACAATGCACACAAAAATAAACATAAACCTGAGGTCAAGGTCTGTTTTTGGTTATATTAGTTAAAGCCATCACATTTTCCTGGAGCCCATGGTGATGTCTTCCAATTGCAAAACCAAAATATATGAGATTTCCAGTTATATAATAGAGAGAAGACCTCCAAACCAGCAGATGATGGGCTGATAAAGGACATTTAATTGAACACTAAATCAGTTCGCTGGATTTTGTAATCGGTTAATCAAAAAAAATTCACAACACATCCCTGCCCATATCTACACAATTATGAGCCCATACAAAGTTTTAACAAGACATTAACAGGTATATGGCACAGTTGTTATAGCTTTTGTAGCATATGTTAATTATATTCTTTGTTATTTATTTTTGTTTTTCTAAGATGGTTGGAGGGTCCTAATAAAAATAATCTCAGGAAGAGGTCTGAATGTATTTGGTGTTAATTTGCCAACAGGTCAATGCATGTTGTTACCATAATGACATTGAGGGATCCTCTGAGGATCTTTTCAGATCATTTTTCTTCTTCTTCGGTGTCTTCTTCTTTCTTCTTTTGCCTTTTAATAGTGGTCAGCATTAATCTTTAGGTACATTACTGCCACCTACTGTTTTTAAACGTAAAGAATAATTAAAACACACAACCATTCAGTTCCTCATCAAGGTTTTAGCATCTGTTCCACTCAGCTCTGATTTCATTACATTGGTCTTTCTCCTATTGTTCACAGCTGACAGTAACATGCTTGAGCACCTGCTGTGTGTTGTAATTGACTCTACATTCTCTGCATATGTGCAAGTGTCAACCAGTGTGCCTAGGTTATTGATTTGTCAAAGCAACGTTTTTCTTTTTCTCTTGCTTTTTTTTAGTTACTTGGTAGGAGATGAGCTATGGGTGGTGATGGAGTATTTGGCCGGTGGTTCGTTGACAGATGTAGTGACTGAGACCTGCATGGACGAGGGCCAGATTGCTGCAGTCTGCAGAGAGGTAAGAAGCCAAGTTTAGACATCAGCAATACCACCCACTACCTCTGTGGCTATGATGATCTGACCCTTACATTCAGGTGGACACATGCAAACATTTGAACAAAATTTCAACACTTCTCTCAAATAAGAGAAAAAAAACACTGCCCACTTCCTTCCTTATGAGTAGGTGTCTATCAGATATATTTTTAAGATTTCTTCTCTCTCTTCAGTGTCTTCAAGCCCTGGACTTCTTACACTCCAACCAGGTGATCCATAGAGATATAAAAAGTGACAACATCCTCTTGGGTATGGACGGATCTGTCAAGCTCAGTAAGTCTTAATTATTTGTTCAAGTATATGAATTTGCCCTTGGCTTTGGTGTGGTAGGAGTAAAGTAAAAAACAACAGTTCTGAGTGTGTGTGAAAGTGTTTGAAGGTTAAGAGAAATGGTACACTGTTAAATGAAAGACCACTTAAATTAAATATGGGTAAAAGCAAAGCAGAAACTCTATGTTTTATGTGATGAAGTAGAATGCAAACAAAGAATATAACACACCACTGCACCTCCCTCCCTCTGTCTTCCTCTGCAGCCGACTTCGGCTTCTGTGCCCAGATCACTCCAGAGCAGAACAAGCGCAGCACAATGGTGGGAACGCCCTACTGGATGGCACCGGAGGTGGTGACTCGGAAGGCTTATGGCCCAAAAGTGGATATCTGGTCTCTGGGAATCATGGCAATAGAGATGGTGGAGGGAGAACCGCCCTACCTGAATGAGAATCCACTCAGGGTAAGACACAAAGTGCAGCTACAGCACAGGATTCGTGATATGGTATTTGCCCTGATGAAGGCCTGAAATGTGTAGATTTGTTTGGTAACTATTATTGTGAGTAAATAACCATGAGATATTAAAGGCTTTTTAGATCAACCATCTTGAGTGCCTCAGAACAGTTCTAGGTAGGATCCCCTAACTGAACTGTTTTTTTTCGATGGTTTGTTTGACATCATCCATCTATCCAGGCGCTGTACCTGATAGCTACCAACGGGACTCCAGAGCTGCAGAACCCAGAGAGGCTGTCATCTGTGTTCAGAGACTTCCTCAATCGCTGTCTGGAGATGGACGTGGACCGCAGAGGCTCCGCCAAGGAGCTGCTCCAGGTAGAACCGAGACTCGATCCTCAGTATACATAAATGTGTTATGATTATAAATGTAGAAATATGTTACAACCATAAGGATGGTATAGAATCAAATCTGCATACATCTTTCTTTGGCTCCACATCTACATTTTATTTTATCCTTTTTGTCCTCTGCAGCATTCCTTCCTCAAGCTGGCGAAGCCTCTATCCAGCCTGACGCCTCTGATTGTAGCTGCAAAGGAAGCCATAAAGAACAGCAGTCGCTAGGGTGTGCCCTCTGTCCCCACCTGAGGCTGGAGCCCTGCCTGTGATGTGTGCGTTCATGGGGGCAGGGGCTTGGGTGTATGGGTGGTGGGTGACGTGACAGTGACAGCACAAGGAGGGGGGTTTGTGTGACATACAGTGACAGCACAAGGACAAAAGACCCCCAGGCCTCATATGTAGGACGGACATCTGGCCTTGCAGCCTCTTGGCCAATGCTGCTGAACAGACCTTGCCTCCTCGTTTACTTCTCCAGCAATCTGTACATGTAGAGCAGTCCATCACAAGTATGTGTGTGCGTGTGTGGGTATGTGTGTGTGTGTGTGTGTGTGTGTGTGTGTGTGTGTGTGTGTGTGTGCGTTCAAACTGTGCACATCTCTTTGTGTCATATGTCTTGTTTGGCAGCAGTCACTCTCCAAACTAAGAAAAAAATCATAAAGAAAATGTGCTCATTTTCAAGAAGAAACGTCAGGAGCTAAGAGGAGAATCTGACGAAACTGAAGAGCCTGTGACTCCTCCCCTGTCCAGCTTTAGGCTTGGTTTTCTTTCCTGTAGTCCCTCCATGGAGCACAATCAGGCCACACTTGCACCTGCAGTGACCAGCTGATGTGAGAGAGTGACTCTGGGACCCAATCTTTGCCTGCATGACTATGGCTCTGTGAAGAAACATTGCTACTCCTCTGCGGATTGTCACAAGGTGGCATATTTATGTGTATGTGTGTGTGAGTGAATGTGTGTAGGGGTGCAGCTACAGGGGAAACATTCAAGAATAATTTCACATGACCTATGCCAGCTTTAAACATCTTTCATTAATCCGCTTCACATTGGTGAAGAGATACGGGTCTCTTATTTCATTTGAGCCCACTTCTCTCAGTGTCTGCCGTAGAGTCACTGGAGTTCACGTTATCTGCAGTTCATTTGCAGGTTTTCTCTCTAAAACTGGCTACATGTTATCAGCTTTAATGCTCTGAATATTTAAAAATACTGAAACACTGTTAGGGCACAATTTGTCTACATAAAACATTGAATTTAACCAGAACTATAATGTGATCCAGCTGTAGATCATACAAGCAAATATTTGATTCTAAATATATAATAGAGGAAAGTGATACATATTCAGTTGTTTTGGTGGTCATTTTTGTGATGTAGTTAGAGACACTTGCACTGACATGTAGATGATGTGTCGCACACCTAAATCACTCTCGGAAAACTATTAGAATGACTATAAAATGGTGCCAGCTTCATTGTCCAATGTGAAAAATTCAGCAAATCATTCTTAAATGCATTCATACATAATTCAAACTGTAGCATTCGGTGTGTACAAGCATCTCAAATAGGATTATTTATAGATATTCAGTATGTGTGTCTTAATGAATGTCAATCCCTGCTTTTTATTATATCAGGCAATTAAGTATGAAATACTGTAGAAGTAAAAACAAATTCTAAATCAGAGACTCAACAGAAATATACATGTTTTCATTTAAATATCTATATTTGATGAGGGATTTTCCTTTTTGAGCTGCTGGCACACAGTGGATTGACATTAAAGCCTTTATTCTAAAACTGTGGCAAACAGAAGGTCATGTAATTATTTACCTACAGAGAGTTAGAGGTCTAGTGCCACACTTTGTCACAGTTTCTCATAGTGCCCCAAGCATCCCTGTGACCTTAAACCCTTAGCAGGAAAGATGCGCGCGACAAAAAAAACATGCAAACATAAGATACGCTGAACATATTCAGTCCAAAATGATCAGTCAAACCGGCAAACACACGGAGGGAGAAACACATTTTCTTCATCATGTAATTAATCAATTATTTAATCAGCTATTTGTGGTGACTTAAAATGATTTTCCCTTTGAGAGACATCTAAACTTTAAAGTATGAAAGGAAATGTAATATGCAGATAAAAGAAGTAACTTCAGTTTAAATGTGATGAAAGTGATGAGAATTCCTCATTATTAAGTCTTCTTATATTGCAGAATACATTATATGACTGTGATGTTTGGATTAAGTGCTAACCAAAATCCTGACCTGCCTGTTCAGGTGAAAATACTGAATATACACGGATATTCACGTCTAATGAGGCACCAGTTGTCCTCCTCGCCCACCCTCATCCCCTCCCTGTCCTCTCCTTTGGTATTTAAGATGCTGCTCATTCATGCTTCAGTGTCCTTTTCGTCCTTTAATGGTGTCTTATGTGACTTTCTTTCATATGCTCTTTTCTTTTTGAAGTGGCGTTTTTGGAACGTGTGGCGGATTAGAGAGGGGGAATGTTATCCACTGAGCGAAGTACCAAGTGCCATTTTATGATTGTACCTTGTCCTGATGAGCACTGAAAACAGAAACTGAAGTAGAGGCTCATATTTTTTGCTAACGTTCCTTCCATACATGGTTAGCGTTTAAACTCATTCCTGTACAGAAGTTATCTACTTTGTGTTGGTGTTTGGTAGCTTTGTCAGGCATTTCCCGTGTAGCATCCCTCCGTGTGTGAGTGGTGTGTGTTTTTGTGTGTTAGGGGGCTACCTCAATCTGCACTAGAAGATGCCTCACTCGTGTTGTCCACCTTAACTTTGAGGTGCAGGGTAGCTGCTTAGTCATATTGTACCTCCATTGTACAGCAAATGTACAGAAGATGAAGGAGTGATATTAGACAGGAGGATGCAACAGAACTCATGCATGTAAAACAAACTATACACTGTATCTCATCTTCAAATAGGTTAAGATTGTTAGGATATGTATGTATGTATGTAAATATGATGGGAGAAAACCCCTTTTTTTCAGAATTATGTAACTTAAAATGACAATATTCAGGTTGCTCTATGGTATGTATCAATAAATGTTTTGCACCCTGGAAAATCAAAAAAGACAAAAACAAACACACAAGCTGTCTCTGCACTCCTGGATCCAGCTCTCCTGTTTGGGCTTTATCGGACACTCCTTCATCTGGACAGAGAGCCGATGGATGCAGCACTCTGTGTGCGGGCCCACACAGTCTGTCCTGAGTACCACTGCTGTGTGTTAGTACATGTATGTGTGTGTGCGGTAGGTGTGGGTGGCCTGTCAGGAAGCTCCTCGGGCCCTGGGACGTTTGGCCTCTGCCCCATGTACAGGTCTGAACTATGAGCACAAAGGTGAATTTCGGGACAAGAGACACTGCTGACCTGCCCCTTTTCTGTGGTTGCTCCTGTACATTCCTATCTTCTGAATGTGTAAACCTGTACATGTGGTGTGAAAATTCCTCTATTAATGTGTATCAAGAGAATGGAACAAAGACAAAAAATGTTACTTTTTAAATTATTATTATCATTATTATTATTATTACTCTTATTATTGTCTAGCTTTGTAAAACTGCTGATCCATCTGGCATACCTCAGCAGGCCCTTCCCCATCTTTGAAAAAGGACAAATGAGTGACGGGGAAATGAGGTTTTGGATAAACTATTTTTAATTGTGGTTGAAGCAATAGACTTTTTGAACTTTGAATTGTGCATGGCTGTGTCTTGAGTGTAAAAAAACAAAATATTGCAGTTTGGGAACTGGACTGAAATAAAGGAGGAAGAAAACCAGAGTTGTGGCAATGTTTGTAGGCGATTGTGATTCTTAGGTTGAACTTCTTTTAATTGTTTATGCCATTCATGGTTTTCTGTTTTCATAACAGTCAAGAGAATAAAACATGATATGAACTGATGGAATGTAAAAGAAGATGCATTTAAGGACCAGTGTGTAGGATTTAGAGGTCTAGTTGCAGTTGTTGGTATGTTCCAAAAGTGTAAAAAACGTAAAAGACCCAGTCTAGAGCTAATATTTGGTTTGTCTGTTCTGGGCTGCTGTGGAAACATGGCGGACTCTGCCACAAGAGGACCTGCTCTCTCTGTAGATAAAAATTGGCTCATTCTAAGAAAACAAAAACAACTTTTCTTATTCGGGTCAGGTGATTTCACATATAATGAAAACATACCTACAAATATTATATTCAATTTATACCAATAGACCCTAAATGTTACACACTGGGCCTAAATAAGATGATACATGAATTATGAATTGTACATACTGCAAGTTTTTCTGCATAAAGGTGACCATCAAAGACTTTAGTGACAAATTACTGCCACATTATTCACAGTATAGAGTAACATCTTTAAAAAAAGAAGTGCTATCTATACAATCAACTTGCAAAGCATAAAAAAATATGTTATAAGTTAAACAAAAGTGGTTAAAAAAAGTCATACAGAAAATAACGTTTGGATAAAAATAAGAGGAAATGACATTCAGTCTGTCCAATATTGCCCTGCACACCTCTCGACTTTGCAAAATAATTCACCAACGTGCAATTAATAGTGAAGAATTCAGCTCAGAGTAATCATACACAAGCACAGACATCCAGTAGGTTGAACAACTGTTGGTTCTTTGATGAGCGCACAATTTGTTCACCACATAGTTAAAAAAACCAAAACATTCAACCCTCTCTCAGGTCACCGCAGAGGTCACATGGCGGTCAGCTGAGTAGAAGTGATGATCCTCAAACCTATGTTACCAGGCATCTCATCAGCCATCTGCCCTCCTTGCTTCCTCAGCTTAAGTCTCTGAGGGTCTGTGGTGTCCTTCACCAACCCAGACAACACTACTTGGCCCATAAACTCGTCCTTCACCGCGTTGCTGTTCCACACCTGAGGAAGACCAGTCAGTTTGAAATATATGTAAGAATTCTGCTGTCACACATTACAAAATGACCACAGTACATCTGCAGGGCTTCAACAGAGGGGTGGTGAATCTGATTTGATAATGTTGAGCAATAACGTTATCAGGCAAAGACCTGTGCTCTTTATTACAGCCAGTTACAAGCTACCATTAAATCTGTCAGTTGATCACCAGTTATATATGTAAGTTTTTCCAGTTTATGGATTCAGTCTGTTCGTGCTATAATTGTTATTAGTTATCCTGAGCACATAACATACGAGCAGCTTAAAAAGCTGGTAGAAATATATCTCTGAATTTTATGATTTTTTTAGATGAACTGAGGGATGATGTGCCTCAATAGGTCGTAATAATTCTCCTCCCTCTTATGCTCTCAAAACCATTTCAAAACACATTGGATCATTGAAAAATGCATTGTCTTTGAGCCTGAAACAAGGCTGTTTCTGTGTGAAAAGTTTAATTTTTGGAGATACATGCTCTCCACAGGACAGTGAAGGAGTCACTGAGATTAATTACAGTCCTCAGGACGAGAGTGACGCCATCTTACCTGCACAGTTATGGGCTTCCTGGGATTCTTCCTGTAGAAAATGCCGCTTATTGCAAACTCTGGTTGCAACGTGTCCTTCTTGATGAGGGATTTGACTGACCGGCCCTCACAGGAGATGATCACATAAGGGTCTGCACCTGCATAAAAACATGTAAAAATCCATCTTAGCAAACCAATTTGGTGGATTACAGTTTGTTTCTGTTGATTAGTAGATTTGGGGTAAAGTCTGGTTTGTGTAGCCCTCTAACCTCCTGTACTGTCCTGGTTCTCCAGCCCTTCGGCTCCGTGGACATAGACGTGAGTCACAGCTTGTGGGTATCCAAGAAATGAACTCCAGCATCTCACTTTCGGCTTATCCTCTGTCAACTCCCTGTGAGAGTAGAGGAGAGAACCCGGAGAGAAATAGAGCTCCTGATGTTACTATCAGCAAATTAGAAGACATTGGGAGTGACATCATGCCTGTGTTTCATAAACACAACACTGGTTGGACTAGCCAGCTTGGATGACTTGTATGTGAGCAAACATGAATGGGTCGGTGTTTAGGTCTGCAAACAAGATCGTCAAAGTCTGGCAAAACAAAATCTTTGGCCAAGAAAAACAGGAGGGATGTTACTGTGAAGTGATTTAATATGAACATAATTTTATAGTCCTCCGAAACACTCATTTGAGTGCTTTCGTTGGATATAATCCATCCACCAGAACAACCTTGCTCTCGATTTCCCTGCACTGTCTCCTAAGACCTGATCATTTCAAGATATGTAAACATTAAACATTAAGCATTTCTGCCTGACAGCCTAAAACACATAGTCACTGGTTTAACATTGCACCTCCATCACACCTCGTACCTGCAGTTTGAGTCCACATCTGTGAAAACCCGGATCATGTAATCCCCCAGTGTCTGAGGCTTGAAGGTGGTGGGGATGATGACGTAGCGGCCCTGTTGGAGCGTAATTCTCATGAATACTGTACGAGCGTTGATGTAGGTGGACGTCGCCACACACTGTTGGGTCAGGATGTCATGCATCCGATACTTCCTGTTCAGTTCCACCTGGGAAAGGAAAACCATTCGGGCTTTATTTAACGTTCATTTAGAAATCACTGAACAAATCACTGACTTAACTCTTTAAAAGTATTTCTGGCAAATGATTTTAACGATGAATGCATTTACATGAGGACTAGTATCCTGGTTATGTGTTTGCTGTAAACATTTTGTCCTGATTTCAGAAATAGGATACTGTGACATCTAAACATCTTATCCGATAAAATATTCTTTGTTGGTGCAGAACATAGTGGCTTAGATGGTGAGAAATCAAGATAAAACTGCATGCAGATGATTAAAAACATGGATACTGTTAGAATTGCATAAGCAGGGAGATTAATTACCATTTTTCCATATTCAATATAAATATCAAATCCCTAAATGAACAAAACCAGGATAAGACTTAAAACTGAGATAGCAGTGTGCATAAAATACATTTAATATGATGTAATAGAGGTGTAAAAATACATTTTAAGGACTTAAACAGGAGCTAGAGGAGTAATAATTTACTGTTTTCTGTCTACAGAGATTATTCTGCCTCCTGGTGGCAAAATAGTGAATAGAACTTAAATCTAATATAAGTGTGTATTTTGTCACTGTGTTGTTGAAGGTACAGAGTAATATAATGCTTGCACTGGTAAGATTAGTGTCAGTTAAGCAAGAAGAAAAAAAACATCCTGTCGGACCGGCTCCAGGGTTATACTGCATATGCATTTTTGTCTGAATAGTTAACAGCCAACCATTAGGTTAACATAATAATTACAGTCAACATAGTTGATGGGATTCCCTCAGACGTCCACTGATACATATTTTTAAAGTAAAAGTCATTTTAAAAGTCCCCTGATATACTTCTCAAACAGGAAGATACAAAGTGTAATAGATGGCAACATATAAAACAGAGAAAATGGACAGAATGTCTGGAGTCTGGACACATCACTTGCTTGATGACCATAGATGACAAGGGTTAAATCCAGGTTCAGGCTCACAGCCGTTCAGTGGGACCGTGTGCACGCAGCTACCTTTTTAATCACATACTCCTTGTGACACCAGCTTTTATTGCTGCCCAGAACCTTCCCCTTTGGCAACACTTCTGTCAGCATGATAAGAGTACCTTTGAACTTAGCCAGATCTCTGACAAGTTAATCACATTAGGGGAAATGCGATGTCAGTATTGCCGCATACGGTTACATGGCCTAATTTGAATGTGACAAACTAATCCCAGTAAGTAAGATAAAAGTTTTACAGCTGCATAAGAGGACTGCATTGACTTACAGTTGAGTTAAAACCTCTACTAAAACACATTCCTGAGTTTGTACTCAACTCTTTGCATCTTACTGAGAGTTTAGAAGAAATTGTCACTAAATGTGTCCACGCCGTTTTTCAGCTTGAAACAATCAACTAAAGAATGTACATTTTTTGTGATTAATCACGTATGATTTAGCGTCTTGTGGAAATGGTCTGTTTTGGTTCCGATAAACCTATCAAGTAATGTCTGCCTGTCATTATAAACATAGAAAAAACATGTAAAAGTCAAATGAAGCCAAAATCTTTGACCAAAATGAAAGCCAAAATGTGATGAAATGACCTTGTTTTCACCCAAAACAAACTGACCCTTGACTAACGTTCTTGTCCCAGACGAAGACCATTTCCTCTGTACTCCTCTCTAATCAGGCTCACCAAGATCTTGCAATGTTACACAAACTGTAATTTACCCATGATTTATAAGTGCTTATTGTGCAACACCCAGTCATAAATCAATCACCAACCATTCATTAGATAAATGGTAGTAATAATAGTATGTTGGATGTATAGTGGAAGTGCTACAATATATGTTACCTTGAAGACACCAAAGCCAATGCTTAGATTTTCTCCTTGACCAACTTTTCTGTGGATCTTCATGTCCCTCTGTTGTAAGGAGATTAGAACCTCATCTTCCTCCTTTGTAACATCAAACAAGTACTGTAAAAGATGTAGAAAATAAGTTAATATATGCAGCATGTGTTACGTGTGCATGAACACATTGATGTGAGCAGAGTCCAGTACCTGTGGGTTCTGCAAGAATGTCTGCTTGTGGTTAGCACAGCCACCGCAGCGGTTTAACAGCGGATCTGCATTTTTGGTCCAGCTCCCAAAGTGCACAACTTCATTCCATGTCTTATGGACACTGATCAGCGAAGTATTGATGAGACGGCAAACATCTGCATCTGTGAATAACTTGCACCAGTCTGTGAATGACATCCTGTGGATGTGAACAGAAAATGCATAAATTCACTCTGAAAGAGGAGATAAA